ACCAATCACAAAACAGTCAAAAAAGCTTTTTTATTACGAAATGTCATCTTTCTAATTTCATCCAGCCGAACCCGATTTGAGTTATACAACGTGAGATACAGACAAATTACGCCATCCATTGGAAAAATTATGCATTTTTTACTTTTTACTACACCTAATAAATATAATTTCACATATTTTTGGCGTTAAACTAAGGTATATCCAATATTATACGTTCGGTTAATTTTGCTTAAATATCTTATATATAACCCGATATGTACGGTATAAGGTATATATGAGATAGGTGGTTGGAAAATCTTTCTATTAGGTACCATTTTTAACATACAGACATACTATTATTAGGTAAGGATTCTCTCCTAATTTCAGTGAGCCATATGCACTGATGTTCACATTTCCGGTATCTGTGGTCTTGAATAGTTACGGTCCGATTTGGCAACTCTTGGACCTAAGATAACATATCTCAAAGGCACTATTTATGCAAAGGTTTTCCAAATATATTCATTGTTACTGGACTTGTGTAATGAAAAGAGGAAAAATCATATGGAAATTAAAATTGTGCTAAATGCTATATAGTCGTGATTGTAGTCCGATTGGCCCAATTTTCACATTGTAACATAATGTTATACACCGAATTTGGTTGAAATTGGGCGAGTGGATCCGGAGATACGTGATTTCACCTACATGTAGGAGGTGCCACGCCCGTCGTCCAATTTTGATCACGGCTCTTATTAGGTTTTCTTGCAGCATTCGAGGTTTCCTGGCTCATTTCGCTATTGATTTATCACGCTTTAAGTAGTTTTAACAAAACCGTTATGTGGGGAGAGGGGGGGGTTATAATCTGATTTTATCTATTTTCACACTATTCACCTATAGAATAAACAAAGGTTGTATAAATTTAATTAAAATAATTTCACAAACATTTGAAAATTTCAATATATTACGAATAGAAATCATCAGGATAGGAATCGAAAACAGCACTTTGTAAAATTTATGCAATTATTTTTGTAGCTTTTCTTTTATGAAAAATTAAATTAAATTTGAGAAGAAAGAAAAATTCTATCGCATTATTTCATCGAATTAACGTTTTTGTACGCCACAAAATATGCAAATTTCCGACCGCATTCGCAAGCACGGCGTATGCTAATACTCCGAAGACTAAGACAGCGTACGTTGTCTAAATTGGAACTTGACATTCGGAAAATATTCAGTAGACATGTGAAGCGTTCATTTCGCAAGTTAAACAAAAATAACTGGCATTTTGCGCTGGTGAATATGTAGAATTTAAATAATTGTGTAAGTGTGTGCATACATAGAATGTAGAAAGCAACAATAGAACAAAGTCAAAATTTAAATATGTACATACATATATACGAGTACATCATAAGTAGGTTTGTTGCCCCAGGCAGAAGTAACGAAATAATAAAATTTGAATTGGAAATGTAACGTGTGCTTGGCAATGTCTGAAACCTGCTTAACTCAAGTGTGTGTGCGTGTTATGCGTGCGGAGATGCAATTGCGCACACTTCCGTCTTTGCCCACATTCGATTGCCACTATTTTTGGCGACTGACGACTGTTTGCTTTTTTGATTGTAGCCAAACTCGTGAGCGGTTCTAGGCAATGGAGCAATCGGTAATGTTGTTGTTGTCGGTTTTTTCCATACTCTGTCTTTGCCATTTTCTAGCATCTGAAATGAATTATTACGTTTGATTTGCTTGTTTCGCTAACAATCGTGCGCATGCAACCACAAAAGACACCTTGTACCGTAACAGCTGTGCAGGAACCATAAGCGATAGGGCATATTTGAATATGCGCATAAGCGTGAACATAAATTAAACGCTCACATGCTTATAGATAAGGATCCAGATATTTATTTGTTTTTGCTCATTTTCTTTTCTTTCACGCTGAACTTGTGCGCGTACAACTGACTTCTTCCAACACCGATATAATATCTTTGCGCGCGTAAAAGTATGCTAATATATGCAATATGTGTTAACACATGCGCTTTTACACCCATCTGTCGTATGCGAATTGTATCTAGGCTTGCTTCAAATCGATACTTTTCTAGAGCAACCATTTTTTATATTTAACCCTGCATTGCCCTGTACCTTTCATCATAGTCCAAAAGTAGAAGCATAATCAATTCTAACAAATAAGAAATTCTCAACATCCGTCGCGAAGCACCACCAAAACAAAGAACAAAATTTATGGAAATTGATTTTGGAATTCTCTGAATTTGGTAGACCTTTCAATTGGATAACCTCGTTTTCACTTTGTCGCATAGCTTGCTGAACATACATATGTATTTCATTAGGAGTAATGCGTGCCGGAAAATTGTCCCAATTTGTTATTATTGGATTCATTTCCAGCTCCTTAAACGATTTTTCGTGAAAGATTTGTTCTGCCGTTGTTGGCGTTGAGCAGAATTTTGTACGGATCATAGGAGCAGGGAAGACGACAAACCCAGTGGACGTCTAAAAAAGGCTGTTGAAAAAAAAACCTGGCACTCTAAAAGTATCAAAGGATACTTTTTTAAAAATAATTGGCTTTACGAACGCCCTTTACAAAGTGGATGCTGCGTAAGCTGACAATCAACTATTGATACCAAGAAATTGATGATCTAGAACAGTAGTGGAGTTATTCAATAGCATTCGATCCAAATTTTCGCTATATTTAAATTTGAATATACAATATTTCATTTCAGAGTGCCCATTAGTATCCGAGCCCATGCCTTGCTCTCTTTTCTGTAGGACTGATCTTGAGTTAAGATTCATTTTTGCCAGATATTATTTTTATTTTTACGCTATTTATTCAAGTAAGAAAATTATTTATAAATTGCTATTCAGCTCTTCACATACTAAATATTAACTTTACCAAAGCCGAAATTAAGTATTCTACACTCATGTCTCCCTAAGCATACAAATTACAGCCTCCTAAAGGTCTAATGACTTAGAGCAAATCATCTGTAGCGGGGGAAAGAGTAAAAAAGGACAAAAGAAAATATTAGATGAGCTTGTTCATTTCTTATTACTTTCGCGAAAGCTGATTTTGTGTTTTTGCTTGTCTCTGTTTTCGTTTCATTCTACATGAATTGCTATTGCTATTGAATCTTTACATACAACCGACAAACTCATTTTCATTAGCATTATGTGCATCATTAAACTCAAGGGACACAAAGCTAAATTACCACAAACAAAACAAAAAAAAAAAGATCCACTCAATTATTTTGAGCCGAAACGAGCCCGCAAAAATTAGTTGAAAGTGATCCAGTCCGGAATGAATTTAAATTTCGTATGTTAAGGTCAAAATTTACAAAATATTTTATGAATAATGGTAATCGCTCAGCGTGCTACAAGGTTTGTTTTTAATGTAGGGCGCTTCTAGCTGTGTCATGTGCCATCTGACATTTTCAGTGCAGGTTTGATGTAATTTACATTGAAAGCTCTTTGAACTTTTGAGGTGTGATCTATCAGCCAAATAGTTTCATGAAATTATTTCCATAGCCAACACAGGTTCCAACAATTTAAGCAAGATTTATAGAGAAACTGGAAAAGTAGAAAGGCGACATATTTAAAGCTTTGAATAAGGTTTAAGTTGAACAATACCAGGGTTGCCTTTTTATTTCGGTATTAAAGAACAAAAACACATATTAGTCATAGAAATCGCTTTGTTGTTTTTCAAAATATTCTCCATTAAGATCTATACACTTTTGCATGCGTTTGAACCAATTTTCGAAGCACTTATGTCACTCTGATTGAGATATCCCCAAAACATGCGTTCTGAACCCATCAACCGCCTCTTCAGGTATCGAAAAACGTTGACATTTTAGTTTATCTTTTACGTACGAAAATAAAAAGAAGTCATTCGGTGCCAAGTCAAGACTATACGGCGGATGACTCATCAAATCGATGTTTTGAGTGCTAAAAAATGCAGTTGCTTTAATCGATGTGTTAATGCTCGCATTGTCGTGGTGAAGAGCAATCCATCTTCGGCGGTTGGTTTTACTGATTTCTGGAAGGACAACTGCAAAAGTTGAGTACCACTCAGAATTTACTGTTCGTCATTGCTCTATTGGTATGGTTGCAGATGTTCACTTATTCCAAAAAAACAAGCAACCATTTGCTTGGAAGAGCTTCGTGGGCGAATAACTTTTGTTGGATTCGGCTCATCTTGAAACTCTCATAGAGACAACTGCTCCTGGTTGGGCCCAAATGCATAAAACCACGATTCATCACCCATCACAATGTCATAGAGGTGCTTTGAAGCACCGCTATCGTATTTTTTAACATTTCTCCCGACCAATCACCACAAGCCTTTTTTGAGCAATTGACAAATTATGTAGGATCCACGGTGAACAAATTTTTTTTACAATGAATTATTTGTGAAATATTGATTATATGTTAGTCTTACTAATTACAACACTAGAGTCGCTAAATCCCAAAATATGTAAAATGCACACAGTTTTCATTTTTCTGAACTAGTAATATCCGTTAGTTCAATACAATTTTTTTTGGTTAGAACTCGCCGACAACGACTGTCAACTGCAGCTCATTCAAAGCTCATCAGACAATGTTTCAATAACAGAATGAATGGAAAATTCACATCTTCGCTTAGAAAATTGCTATTTTCCAATCAGAACGTGTGGTTACAGCGCAAAAAGCATTGTCATCCACGAACCCGCTGCTAACAAAGGCAAAACAGCAATGCAGCAAGAAACACCACGACGACCGCAACGTCATCAGTCGGACTTTTCACTGTCACGACAATTATGCATGGACACACAATTTTCAGCAGCATGCTGAATCCCACAAAATTTGTGCACAGAGCTTAGCAACGCAAAAAAAACAACAAAAACAGAACTCACATACACAAATACTCCGGTTTTAGCAGTTGATTTACCTACTTAGTAAAAGTCCCCGCTTACCGACTTTATTACATACCCTGCTGTTCTGTTTGTCTGTTGGCTGCAATCTCTTTCTCTCTCTTTTGCATGTCTTTGCAGATATGGTCGCTGGGTGACACGACGTGTCGCAGTCATTACAATTGCTGCCATTTGGCTGCTGGCCGGATTTGTCTCGTTTGTGCCGATCTCGTTGGGCCTGCATCGACCGGAGCAGCCGTTAATCGTGGAAGACAATGGTAAACGGTATCCCACCTGTGCGCTGGACCTGACGCCAACCTATGCGGTCGTATCTAGTTGTATCAGTTTCTACTTCCCATGTCTGGTTATGATTGGCATCTACTGTAGGTAAGTACACACACATATATACATATGTTATTGTAAATTTTTGTGTCGGAGGTAACCAAATGAAGGGGTTAACAGTGCCTGAGCAACTTGTTAAAAAGTTATTTATTCCCTTTATGGCATTTATTCGACTACTAGGCTACGGTATATCTCTGCTCCCTCTCTTATTCTCCTCCATTAATTGTTGCCATCACACAAAACTTTGAGTTAATTGAACTATGCAATTTGGGTGTGTGACGACAAGATAGATGACCATTATTACTCATAGTGAGGTAGGTTGAATTTCATAGACGACTGAGTACACGAAGTTAAGCTCTCATAGATGTCGAAATAGTTTGAAAAACTAAAGGTGATATCCAAGCGAGGCCACTGAAAGCAGTCACCCTAGTCAGCAGGGTAGTTTAATGCGTATGTAACATATACAAGGTGCGTTCAAAAGTAAACAGTACAAAAGCAACAAAGTAAACTCTAGTGGCGCCATCTATATGCCGACTAGTGCGTTAGAATCTACTATCCTTTATCGAGTTGCAGTAAAAATGACATGACATTTCATCTATTTGAAGTGAAGTTATTGCATTTTAAGTGTCAGGATGTTTTTTTCATCGGTGCGAAAATGAGCTTTGAACAAAGAGCCAACATTAAATTTTGTTTTAAAATTGGTAAAACTTTTACCGAAACGTTTCAACTGATTAAACAAGTTTATGGCGATGATTACCTATCCCGTAGCAGAGTGCACGAGTGGTTTCAACGTTTTCAAAGTGGTCGTGAGGACATAAATGATGATGAACACCGAACCCGAAAATTCGCACCTGGAGAAGTCAAAAGTGAAGACAATGCTGATTTGTTTTTATGATTCGAAGGGTATTGTCCACAAATAATTTGTTCCACCTGGCCAAAACGTTAATGCGGTAATACTGTACTACTTTCGCGACGCAGTCGTCAACAAATGTATTTTTATACTTTATAGTTTAACTGGCTATATTAAGTTTGCCGCGAAGTTTGTAACATCTATAAGGAAACTATCAGCATGACGTGACCATGTCCGTCTGTTTGTATATACGCAAACCAGAATAGTTTTTGAGCTAACGCGAAGTTTTACATACGTCATTTTCTGCCCAAGAAGCTGCTTATTTGTACTGAATGATCAATTTCCAGTTCTTATTATGGATGATTGTCTAAACAAATGGTAAAATCCCCGATGAAATTGTTAACATCGGACCACTATAGCAGTTAACTGGCATACAAACTGACAGAGCAACATTAAGTATTTGTATGGAAAACTTTTTTATTTGTGACGGGTATTCTAGCCTCGCTGCAACCGAAGTTAAAATTTTTCTTGTTTTTTGATATAATCAACTAATTATTTTATTCTTTTCAATAAGCTTCTAGTATTTAAATGATATTCAGTAGAGGCAGTTACTTCATCCCATTTTATTTATTTACTATTTCAAATGACCAAATGTGACTAACGGTAGGAATTTCGTGGCACATTTAACAGTTATAGAGAAGGTTGAAGTAAAATAAAGCTGAACGGATAAATGTTTAATAAATTGATTGAATCCTTTCGGGATTTTCAATGCATTTAATAGATATTAGATTTCGAGATTTTAAGGCGTAAATGTATAAAGAATTGCATGATTTCTGAATAACTAAAATTCTTTTAATTTAGGCTTATTTTGGAAAATGGAACTGTTGTAAAAGCCCTAGTTACAAAATATATTATGATGGAATCATTTAAGAACAAATTTTCCTTTAAAGTATTACCAAGGGGATTGTAGTTTAAAATTTGCTTCAAATACTAATCATTTACAACTAACAAATACTCACTAGTCGCAGGAAAATATAAGGTTTTAAACAAAGCTTCAGAACGTGTACGTTTGTAATCTTTATACCCTGAATTGGAAATATTAATTTTGCCACGAAGTTTGTAACACCCAGAAGGAAACGTCAGAGACCATATAAAGTATATATATAAATGATCACCGTGACGAGCTGAGTTGATTTAGCCATGTCCGCCTGTCTGTCCGTCCGTCCGTCTGTATATACGCGAACTAGTCCCTCAGTTTTTGAGATATCGATCTGAAATTTTGCACCTGTCCTTTTCTCACAAAGAAGCTGCTCATTTGTCGGAACCGCCGATATCGGATCACTATAGCATATAGCTGCCATGTAAACTGAACAATCGGAATCAAGTGTTTGTATGGAAAACTTTTTAATTTGACGAGGTATGTTCACAATATTTGGCATGAATTTTTGCTAGAAGAAGTAATGCAATCTCCAAAGAAATTTTTCACATCGCATTTTCGCATGGAAAAATTATTCATTAGATAAAATATCTTCACGAAATCCGGCATTGATTTCTCTCAATGGCATATAGCTGCCATACAAACTGACAATCTAAATAAAGTTCTTATAAAAAAAATTGTTTATGACAAGTTATCTTCACGAAATATGGCATGGATGATGATTGTCCAAGATATCGCTACAATTTTCGAACGAATTGTTCATATCAGACCACTATATTAAACAGCTATCATAGAAACTGACCGATCAAAATAAATTTTTGTATGGAAGTTTTTAGTATGGATTATTGCTTAAGATGTGACTTCAATCTTCGAACGAATTGTTAAGATCGGACCACTATAGCATACAGTTGTCAGATTTAACCACTTTACAAATAATATATTATAAACCAATGTCCAATTTGAGCTTTCAATAAAAATTGTCTTATATCTGCCAAAAACTGTTTTGCTTGTGCCAAAAGTAAGGTGTGACATGTAGCTAATTGGGACAATAAGTTAAAAAATGTGTTAAGAATAGATACATAAGAGTAAGGAGCAAAAATAGTATTTAATTAACCATAAAATAAACAAATCCCTAATTATTCAAGATATATTATTATTTATTAATAATAATAGAGAACTATCTAAAGATAATTATTCAGTTTTAAAACCCTCATTAACTGATGGATAGGTACAAACCAAATCTAGGTAGAATAATAGGTAGGAAATAAATAGTTCGAAACGTAGGTAGAAAACATAACCTAGGTAAAAAAACCTCGATAATGCCCCTTTTGTAGTTAACGCCTTAATATTTCAACTAAAATTACTTGATCAAATTTGGCATAGATTATTGGCCACGGTAACAATAAAATATCCTAAGAAATTTTTCTGATCTGACTACTGTATCACATAGTTGCCGTACAAACTGATCGATCTAAATAAATTTGTAAAGTAGAAAATTATGTTAAGAATATATACATAAGAGTCAGGAGCAAAAATATTATTTAATTACCCATAAAATAAATAAATCCCTGATTATTCAAGATATATTATTATTTATTAATAATAATAGAGAACTATCTAAAGATAATTATTCAGTTTTAAAA